TTGCAGCTTAGACCACGTCGGCTGCCTGGGAAGCCACACTGGGCGGGCACTGCTCGCGACCGTGACCCCTCAATCCATCCGGCCTTCTACAACGTGAGCCCCTGGTCCACCTGGACGTGCTGCCCGTAATTAGCACCCCGATGCCCGCAACAGAGAACCACGCGAGGATGGACTCTGCGAGGCTTGGGCGCGGGAGGGGGAAGGAAGACGACTTTCCGAAACGGGTCCCCGAGGACCCCCCAAACCCTGGACCCGGAAGAATAGAAAGCGACATGGGCACCAACTCTCAGCGCTCGGCGCGGAGCGCCAACAGCTTGTGCTTCTGGGGCGCTCCCGCCTCCTCGAGGATCCCCGACTCGACGAGCCCCGCCCGGCCCATTCCGGGAGGTGGCCGCCGAGCTCGGGGCAGGCCCCTCCCCCCTCTGCGCCCTCTGCGCCCCCGGGGCCCCGGGCGTGGACCTCCGCATGCGCCCCGGGCACCGCGCCGCAGGGCATTGTCCTCCTGCAGGGGGGCCTCTGGAAAAAAAAAAAAAAGAGCACGAAAAATCGTCACCATGACTATTCTTGGCTGCTCCTTCTTAGGGGGCAAACAAACCTGCCTCGCTTTTGACCACCCTCGCTTCCAAGAGGTACCAAGCGATGCCAAGCTACGACCTGTACTGGTCAGGCCGCTTGACGGGGAGGCGCATGGTATGACTTGGTTTTGCCTGGAAGCGAAAGCGGGGTAGGTAATTCACGCTCCGACTCCTGACTCAAAACTGCGCGTGGGCCTCAGAACGCTGTGTCCCTGAGGACCTCTGGCAGGGCGCGCTCTCGGCGTGTGGGGGGGGAGACCGCCTGGGAGCACCGGGAAAGCGTTTGGGAGGACTTGGGAAGAGCCTGGGAGCGCTGGGAGCGCTTGGAACGCCTGAGAAGCGCCTGCGGGGTGCTTGGGAGCGCGCCTGGGAGCGCGCCTGGGAGTGCTTGGGACTGCTTGGGGGGCGGGGGGCAATTCGGGCTGATCACAGCTTCGACTTGGCAGACGCGCGGCCGAAGTCGCCCGAGGAAAGACTCGCGCGCGAAAGGCCCTAGCGTCGTGTGGGGGGGGGGGGGCGGGGTATTTTTGTTGTTTCGCTGCTGCTCCTGCGCCTGCCGGGCATCCTGGGGGTCCCTCGTGGAACGCGGCCGGGTCCACATCGAGATCCTGGTCGCTGGCGGCGCCCGCAAGGGAGGGGGGCGCGAGGGGGGCGGCTCCCCGAGAAGGCGGAAGGGGCCTCTTGGAAGCTGTGAGAAGCCGGGCGGGCTTCTAAGAACCCCCCCCCCGCTGGCGATGGCGACGATGGCGACTATGGCGACGATGGCGACTATGGCGACGATGGCGACGATGGCGACGACGACGACGACGACGACGACGACGACGACGACGACGACGACGACGACGACGACGGCACCATCTTAGAGGCCCCGACGCCATCTGGGAAGGCCGCCCCCCTTGCGCCACCCCCTGCTGGGCGCCGCCGACGACTGCAGGCTCGATGCAGACCTGGCCGCGTTCGGTGAGGGGCCCCCAGGGATGCCTGGCAGACGCAGGAGCACAGGCGAAGCAGCAAGAGTGCCCCGATCCCCACCACCACCACCACCATCACCACCACCACCACCACCACAACACACACACACACACAACCACAACCACACACAAGCACAAACACACACACACACACACACACACACTCATGCGGGGCAGGCATCCAGGAGGCCTCCAGATGGTGCCAAATGACCGCGCCACGCAGCCGATGCCACTGCGATGCAGCGGCAATGTCCGGACGGGGACGCGCCGAGTCGCTGATGCATCGGCGGTGCGGCGCGATCCTCCGACCCCGTCTGCTCCAGCCGCATGCGTCGGAGCAGGGCGAGCTGAGAAAACGGCAACCCAACATCAGTCCCTGGACCCCTCCTGCGGTCCAAACGCACCCAGCGTTCCGAGCTGCGTCCAGCCGTGTCGACGAGGGGACCCCCCGAAGGCCAAGTACAGCCGGACCAAGGACAGAAGAACATCCTTCAAGAACAGGAGACCCTCCGCCCGCCCAAACTGAAGAACACTTGAGGGTAGCCACCCTCCCCCAGGATGCACAAGCATATTCAGCAAGCACGAAGAAGAACATCAGGGCACCCTCCCCGAACCGGCCTCGATATGATGCCTCAGTCCGACAGTGCCGTTGTCTCGACTCGCCCTGCTCTGAAGTTGGGAGGCCTCGGGGTTCGTCCCTCGGCCGTCCGTCTCCCTCTGCCTCGCCTCCACGAGCAGGGCCTCGAGGTCCCTCGCCCTCCGCAACGTGTCGCTCTGCCTCCGCTCGAGCTCCATGATGCGCTCGAACGCGGCCGACCCTCCTCTGGCCGCCAGCGGAGCGAGGGGGAGCAGCATCAGCAGCAGCAGCAGCAGCAGCAGCAGCAGCAGCAGCAGCAGCAGGGGGCGGAGAAGGAGGAGGAGGAGGAGGAGGAGGAGGAGGAGGAGGAGGCGGAGGAATCGGACTGGCTGTAGGCCTGGTAGTTGAGCTGCAGGACAGGAGGACGAGACAGTGGAGGGCAGGAATAGGAGGCGGGGGAAGCAGGGCGGGGGAAGCGTGGCGACGACGAGCGGGGCGGCCAGGCCCTGCGTCTCCACACCCCCTCGCCGGGGAAGTTCGGAGGCAACGATGGGGGCGAACAGCCAAAGGGCAGGCATTGCGCATACATTCGCCCTGGAGCCTCCCCGAAGACATGGACCATCGGCGTTCATCTTCCCTGGGCTGTTCGCCCCATCGTCGCCTCCGGGAAGTGGCAGCAGCAGCAGGAGGGGGAGGAGGAGGAGGAGGAGGAGGAGGAGGAGGAGGAGGAGGAGGAGGAGCCGATGAGAGCCGAGGAGAGGAGGAGGCCGAGGAGGCCGAGGAGGAGGAGGAGGAGGAGGAGGCCGAGGAGGAGGAGGAGGAGGAGGAGGAGGAGGAGGCCGAGGAGGCCGAGGAGGCCGAGGAGGAGGAGGAGGAGGAGGAGGAGGAGGACCAGTGCAAACCCAAGGGTCATCAACGACGTTGGAATTAACCCTCCCTCCAAGTTCCCTCTTCATAAGCCCCTACAACGGTTCATTTCCATTGAGGGAACTGCCTCGTTGGAAGACAACCGTTTGAAGACCCTGAAGCGTATCAAAACATGATTCTCTGGATTCCAACACCACGGATCAACCTGACTGTTGCGTTTTGACGATCCACACAGCGAATCAACATAACTGCTGCGTCCGCATAATCCAGAATCCGTCCAAAACGCAATTTTTGGTACGCTGCTCATGGGAGCCCGTGAAACTCTTGCACATGTAAGAAAAAGAATGTGCGCGGCGCGCCAAGGCGAGAACAACATGTTGAAAAGGAACCGCCCTCAATCCGTGAAACTCTTGTTTGTTTATAAAAAAGAATGTGCGCGACGCCAAAGCGAGAGCCACATGTTGAAAACCACCCGCCTTCAATCCGTGAAACTCATGCAACTGTTTTTAAAAACGAATGTGCGCGGCGCTAGGGCGAGAGCCACATTTTGAAAACAACCCGTCCTCAATCAGTGAAACTCTTGCAGATTGTTAAAACGCATGTGCGCGGCGCTAAGGCGAGAGCAACATGTTGAAAACGACCCGCCCTCAATCCTTGAAGCTCTTGCAAAGTTTTAAAACGAATGTGCGCGGCGCAGAGGCGAGAGCCACAATCTGAAAACGACCCGCCCTTAATCAGTGAAACTCCTGCAAACTTCTAAAAACGAATGTGCGCGGCGCGCCAAGGCGAGAGCCACATTTTGAAAACCACCCGCCCTCAATCCGTGAAGCTCTTGCAAATTGTTAAAAGGAATGTGCGCGGCGCTAAGGCGAGAGCCACATGTTGAAAACCATCCGCCCTCAATCCGTGAAACTCTTGCAGATTGTTAAAACGAATGTGCGCAGCGCCAATGCGAGAGCCACATTTTGAAAACCACCAGCCCTCCATATGTGAAACGGTTGTCATGTTTAAAGCTTCAGGGTCATGAATGGGGAGGAAGTCTCAGGCGAAACTCCCGGCCCGCCCTAAAAACTGGCCTCGGTGCGACCAGGAGGAGCTATCTATCTATAAGGCGAAGGAATCGAGGAGGAGGAAGAGAAAGAGGAGGAGGAGGAGGAAGAGGAGGAGGAGGAGGAGGAGGAGGAGGAGGGGGAGGAGGCCGA